AGATGAAAGCACATGTATGCAGATTGCCGCTGAACGTAATGAAAATAATTATGATAACGTCGCAATTTAATTTGATATATATTATAAAAATATAGATAGAAACATTATACTCTGTTTGATCTTAATGACTTGACATGGGAAGAGCTTTCTATAATTGTGTTTTAATTTAAGGTTATTTGAAAAAAAAAAAATATTTGAATTCAATTTTAGAAGGCATTTTTCTTTAAGTGCTAGACTTATTTTGTCGCCTGAATCAAGTGTGCACAATAGTTTAGTTTACATTAAAAATAACCATTGTATAATAACTGTTATGTAAATACCTAAATATGAAACCTTCGGGAAACTATTAAACCTGCTTAAGAAACAACAAAGGTACACTACAGTTGGTAATATATGTAATAAAGGTCATTTACGTTAAGGAACCATATATATGAATATTTATCACACAAACCGCGGCCCAGAGTGTATTTAAGTCATTTGATATAAACGATATTGCATTAGTATATGTACACTTTGACGTGACGTCATTTTCGTTATATATCAACATAGCATTAAAGCCAACTAGTGTTAGCGTAACACTATATCCCCGTCATTGCAAAAGAATAATTTCAACAGTTAACAGTTCTTATTTTCTCTAATCAGCAAAGTATGTTTAACATATATTTCAAATAAAAGTCAAATTCAATAGTTTTTCATATGGCCTCTTTAATTTTTTTCTTTTTAAAAACTTACTTTCATTTTCAAAAAAAAAAAAAAAAAAAAAAAAAAAAAAAGAATTGTAAATACTATGAAAATGATTTTGTATAATAAGTTGTTTTTGAATTACGTTTTAATAAGCTTTATGACTTAAAACGATCTATTTCTATATATTTACTATAAACCTTGATACCTTGATATAGATTCTGCATTTATAAATTATTTAATTCATCACATGCATTTCTTCGTTTATCTATTAACTTATAACATTTTATTTAATATTATAATATATAAATTAAAACAATGGTTGGTTTTCTTAAATTATCAAAATGTTGTACCACAATAATTCAAAGACGTACAAAAAATCATTTTAACATCATTTTTTTATATTTTTTTAAAAATTCATATCAACGAACAATCGCGAGGTCAGAATTTAAATTTATACATTGATATGCTAATTAAGTTTTAAATTTATTTGAATTTAAAAATTTCCCCTTTAAATTAAAAACTTAACCCCGATCGAAAGGTTTTCTCCTTTTAATGAATCCCTTTATTCGAACTACTATTATATCGATTTGTTATGTTTCGCTAGCGATACAATCTCTCTTTAATAGAAACAATGGAAAACAATTTGGTTGTCAGATAAGAGTAGTGTCTTGTGAATGATTTTGGTAATTTCTTCTGACATCTGGCTACTGAGATGCTGGTTTGGAATTGAAACGAGAATTTCTGACAATTGTAAGTTACATAGTATTCATTTTTGACATGTTCTGAAAGTGTGGTTTTTTTTCGTACAGATTCGAACTGAAAAATTTTTATATGTTTTTTTTAAATTTAAAGTGTTTTTCAAAAATAAAAGTTTGTATAGCCCGAATTTTAATGTAATTTTGTTGGGAAGCCCATGTATTTATGTAATTTTTCTAAGGACTTAAATTTTAGCCTACCCAAATATTCTTAAAACTTTGTAGAATTTCACTGAAAGAATTAATCATAATATTTAAAAATATTATCAATGCAGATTTAAAAAAAAAAAATTCTTTGAATGTTTTTTTTATTGCGTTAATTTATTTACCGTCGTTGGTTACATGTAAAGTAAAAACAAAGGTTTTATCGTAACTATTCAAAATAGCTGTACAAAATACTAGTTTAATTTCATTAAATATTTTGTAATCAAATATTGAAAATTAATTTAGCGATAAATATGATAAGAAAATGAATACACAGTGTCATTTTAAATTTTAAGTTTTCCTTTTCTTTATTTCCTTTCTTTAAAGAAAAGGCAATAAACCTAACCAGCAAAATATATATTAGCTGGGAAGCTGTATTCACTACAACTGGTCAATTAAAAATTTACCTAGCTGTATATCTTTGGGTTATGTAAAACAACAGTTACTATAATTGCCGAGATTTATCAAAATCTGGGAAATTATTACGGAATACGTCTTATTTGAATGAAAGAATGTTACGGAAGCTACATAACGTATAACTGGTTTATTAGACCCTATATAAAAACAAATCTGCCAATTTGTAATGGCACTGTGTATTTGTTCTGAGTGTTTAAAGTTTCAAACTACTATTTCTTGTCTCTGTATACCCACAATATGTTTATTTCACATTTTGTAACAGTTATCGGTATTTTCAAAAATCAAATTTAAGCATCATTTATCTTAAAAAAATACATATTAAGATGCGTTTAAATTGGCACAAGAAAAAAATAATTTGTTAATTTATTCCATTAAGGTTATAAATTCAGAATAAGTTTTCGAAGACTTGTGTGTCTCTATTTAATAAAACACGTGACTTGCAAGTTTTCGTGTCTGGGAAGGATTGGTATTAGAAATGTGATATGCAAGTTAGTGTGCACTGTATAATTTTGTTTCTTACGATTCTTCATGTAATTGCAGAAAATTTGCATTTAGTCCAGAAATATGCGTCATTGATGAACTTTAGGACTGTTTAATTGTCATTTCATGTCAGTTAGGGCTATATTAAACTTCCATTTTAGAAAGTGCACCTCAGTTAGTTATATATAATTTGTTTTCAACAGACTTACGTAAATGTAGATACTGTTACAATTAGCGTGCAGAAATATAGAATACATTACTGTATAGTGCGTTTAAAATTTATTTTGTCACGAATATTGGCTTGTGCATCTTTGGGTGGCGCATGTATGTAAACTGTTTTTTAGACAAGGTCTGAAAGAAAAAAAAACAAGTAAAGCTTACGTTAGTATGGAATACTTTAAAATTTTAATTTTCTAAATTTGTGATGTCATTTTTTGTATTATCAGAGTTAGTGAGAGAAAGAGTAGAAATATACAGGTTATATACAGCTGATACAGCTTGAAAGTTGTATGGGTGTAGAGTAAAATATAAGGAAAGGTATACATATAACCTCATTCTTTCTGTCATACTTATATATCTACAACAGGTTGATTCCTTAAACGAATTTTACTCTTCACTGACTTGTTAGACAGTCGAAATGCATTTAAATGTCCCATGAGAACAGTGTTGCTAAGCATGTAAAACTTGTTTTCCAACTGAATGCCTGTCTGTTCGATTCGACCAAGCAAGGTTTGTTATATCGTTTAAGTTAACAAATTTAGTTGAATTCAAATTGTTGACCTTAAGTAAATTGATTCTTTTCTATGCTTTAGTTAGATAATTTATATGTAGAACTTGAAACCATATTGTTCAAAGCAATAACGATTGTTTTGCAATTTGGTAACGTGTTGTACAAATGTAATATTAAACTAGTAAAAAGATAATGAAATATATTGTAAGACCAGCATTAGTTGTGGTAAAACCTCAAAGGAATACTGTTAATCCGGTATTTTTCGCGATGTTTTAATTTTCGCTATTATTCGCGAATCGGCCGCGTCGCGAATTCATGATACCGCGTAATGTTTTGTCCTTTTATAATTGATCTGAAATTAACGCAAAATAAAGAAGTCGCTAGAATGCGTTATATGAGAAGATAACGATAACCCTCTACACAAGTTGCTAATTGATATGGTATTAAACAAGCACCCCAATGACGGACCGATATACTCATTTCAAATTGACCCCCGTTGCAATATAATTTATACAACCTTTTTTAGGGTCATTAGTGTGACAAATATGACTTATTTTCTGCATTCAGTTCATTCTATGGCTACACATCAGTATTTTAATTCAATTCAAAATAATGTTTTTTTTAAGAATTGATAGCAATCTTTAGAAACATTCTTTTGATGAACATTTATAATATGTTTTAAAATATGGGTAGTGTTATTTCACTATAAAACCTTTTTAAATGTTCCTCTTTGTTAAAGAATGCAAGTTGTCTAATCATATTCGCAGCCATATTACTGTATAGCATTTCATGAAATGTTCCTATTCTATAGGTAAAGTTTGCTTGAATCCATGTCTCTTTAAAGCAATGTCCATGTTTTGTGTATCTAATCTATTATAAGACCAAGAATGCGCAAGCCTAGAATATTTGTATTAAAACCATTTAACATATATTGTTTCACAGTTAAGCGTGCACGTATATTATTTTTTCTATTTTATCTGTTTCTTATATTTTTTTTATATCAATAAGGCCAAGGATGCGTAAGCCAAGAATATTTGTGTTAAATAATTTTACATATCATGTTACACAATAAAGGATAAATGCATATTAGTTAAACACACAGTTCCTTATTGTTTTTCTTATGTCTACATGTTGATTTGTTTTGCATTGATTTGCATTGAGCTGCTAGTATTTCCATTCTAATTTGTGTATCATTTATTCTGCTTAAACGAAAATTCAAACCAGCAAAATCAAGTTGAACATTCTACATATGCTGACCAAATACGTGCGATATAGACCCACAAATATACAACTTCACATGCTTATCAACATTTCTTTAGAACTGTTTACTCTTCTCAAGCACTTTTAGTGACATAACATGGAACGCACAGCGCATGCGCAAACACATGCTCGCTCGGACAAGGGCAAATTTACATGGTTCCCGGACACGAACAAACAAAAACAAGCAAATTAAGAATTTTTTCACGTAATATATTTCACGTTATTCAAAACGTATGTTAAAAGAAATAATAACTATTTTGGTGATAAAAAGTAAACTGTAATTAAAATCGTAGGTTACATAAAACATATAAAACGTTGGGTACAACGTGACTGTGGACATATAATTAAAATGTTGCCAGTTGGTAACCAATCCCTGACATTGTGTTTAAAGTAAAAGTCGTTTTAAGTCCAGACGCTCTTATAACCATTTTATTAATAACAGTTTAATGCAATAATTTTTTTATTTCCAGATGACCAGCATGATACAGGAGTTAACTGTTAGCCACAACCCATTTGACATGACACCAACGATGAACTACAGTAATACAACCGATTCCTCATTTACAAACAACAGTTCTACAATTACGAATAATCAAAGCTATGACGGTGTAGATGACTTTTTGTTGCCATGGTGGCAGCAGACAGTGTTCTTCCTTGCACTTATAGCTATTCTTATAATAGCTTCCGGTGGAAATCTAATAGTAATCTGGATTGTGCTTGCCCACAAGCGAATGCGCACTGTCACAAACTATTTCCTTGTGAATTTGGCAATTGCAGACTTTTTGATATCGGTTTTGAATATGCCATTCACGTTTCTGTTCTTGCTTTACCAGAACTGGTGGTTTGGGACCTTCTTTTGCAAGTTTTCATGCTTCATCTCGCCATGTACGATCTCAGTTAGCGTCCTGACATTTATGGCAATTGCCATTGACAGGTAAGCAATTTAAATATTCTGATCTTGGCAAAACAGACTATGTATCTGAATGCCATTTTATTTTTCATTTAAAATTCACAATCTCAATTAAAACAATTACAGGAACACAATATATCATAAACATTCGTCTGGATAAATCATACAAAATTGAAAATAAAGCTTTTTAGGCCAATCTTTTACCTATAATAACTTGCTGCCTAAACGGTACGACACAAACTGAAAATAATAACCAAAGAAAAATAAAGAAACAATATGGTAAGCTATAACTTTAAGTTAATAGTCTACCAGTTTCCTTTTTTCACAACATCAATAATGCAAAACATTATATGTATCTATACATGTCAAAGACGTACAAAGTTAACCAAGTCAGCAGTTTTTCTCCGGCTGTCCGATTTTTCTTACGGCCATTAGGTCTCTTTATAAGAATTTGCGAAATGACATGTCAAAGTTTGTTTGCTAACCAGTAGGTTACCCGAAAATGTCTGAAAAAGCAATTAAAGCTTAATCATTTGTCTTTTACACATAGAAAAGCTATTTATCTTTTACAAGCTTTACAGACAAAGATAATTGGCAGAATGCAAGAATATTGTGCTCTGCAGAGTTTCGTTTATTTGTTTGACTTGTGTGTGCACAGTACAAAATATTATGTCTTTAATCTTAGAGAGACCTTGGTCATTTGTTTAAATCGTCTTCAATTTTCTTCTTTGGTATAATAACGCGTAAAATGTGTATGTTCAGCTAAGTTCCAAATATTCAAGAATTTCTTTTTAAAATGTTTCATGAATAGATTGTCCATATTAAAGATTTAAACATACATCAATTATAACAGCAAGTTTTTTTAAAACTTTAAGCAGTTCGATTTGTAATACACTAGCTTTTGATTTGATGATAGTCAAAGAGACATTTAAAATGGAATGTCAACCTATACTATAAGATGAACCATTAACCTAATTTTCAACAAATACTAGAAATAAAATCAAACAAAATACGTCTACTTATATTTGAAATTAACTGTAGGCATACGCGGCAGAAGACACATTTTGTACTAAAAGTATGTCTGTGATACTTGGTAATGTTCCTTTACCGCTACGTTCAATTTATGTCAATTTGCCTTAAAAGCAAAAAGACATTTTATGTTAAAAATGATCACGTCGCTACTATCCTTTTGTAATTAAGACAAAAAGCATTTATTAGTGAAATGTATCTTTTCACTCGTATTCATTATGTTTATAAACATGAAATGTGGTTCATAGGTTAAATAGAGGATATAGTTGGTACCTTTAAGACTTATAAATTAGTACAACCATTAGAATATACGCACTGTTTACCTAACAAGTAAAATAAAATATACAAAATCAAAGATGAAAAAAGGATAAAAAATGCGTTTTTGTGCAAATTTCATACCACTAAAATTATTGTATATAATAATCATTTTGTTGTTTTACATAAGACATTCTATAAGTAAAACAAATATGATATTTTTAAAATAATCATCAACGATTAAATTCACCTTTGCAGTCCTCCAAATTGTGGCCAAACATACACGTTGGCCGAAGTGTATAATGAACAATCAGGTTTAAATGATATCATAATCAAAACTTATTACCATACACTCAAATGCTCTATAAATATCTTATATTAAATATAACCATACTTCATCTTACTAAATATCATACATTTCCTAGGGAGACCTATTCTAATATCATTATACATATTAATCCTTTTTAAACTAAACCTTTGCAATTGGGTACGCTCGACCTTAGGATATAAATTATTTTTTATAATGGCATTGCAAAGTATAAGCATACACATTAAAACCACATTTTCATAAAAAACAAATAATAATGATAATAATAATATTATGAAGTACCAAATATTGTGATATCTAAAGATAAATTTGTAAAAATTACCCTGTCGAATAGTCATTAAAGTTGATATTCAAGTGTCACTTCTCCTCACGGAAAACAGTATAAGTATGTGTAAATGATACAAGGGAATCAATCACTTTTATGCTATTTGGTTCAATTTCGTCAATTTGGTCAATTTGTCTTAAAAGCAAAATGACATTTTTATTTCGAACGCGATATCGGCGCAATTAAGACAGGGGATTTTTGTTAAAGAGATTTTATTTTCTGTCAGCGGCTTTGTTCCTTCAACATTTAAGGCCGGAAAGCAGTAAATTGTTTTGTAAACTAAACTCAATATTAGGAACTAATTGCATGTAAGATTACTGGTTGTCTGGCAATGAAGATACAACTAAATTGTTGATTCAAATCATTTAATATTAATTCTTTTATTAGTGAAACAAACTCGTTCAGTTAAAGTCTTGAATAATAAAATTATTCCGAAATATGACACTCTTAAGTTCTATAAAACAAAGTGTGGCTTCTTAGTTTGTAAATATATTAAAATCAAGAACATAAACTTACGGATGCAGTGTCTATTAAAGAGGCGAGAAGGCCGTAAAATAGAAAATAATACACCCTGAAATTATAAGAAATGATATATGAGTATATTCATTAAATATATTAGTTTATGATGATAATCCAAATACATATCTGTGTAAGTAGTCTATCATAGATTCTTTGAAGTGCTCTGGAGCACCTGAGACAGAAGCTATTTTGACCATCAACATTCTCTTTTATACGATTATATTTTATCAGATTTGTTTCTTTCTTTGTTTTTTTCTTTCTTTTTTGTTAGGAAAACGGGGAGGGGGTGCGTAGCCGTACTAATATTTAAAAGATCTTTTTTGATAAGTTAATTGCTGTTAAAGATTATTCACGTTTTAGAATTTTAAAGTATTTTCAGAAATCTAACAAACTGAAAAATGTATATACTCTCTTGTTACAAAATATTACTACATCCAAAGCTGATTTCCGTTCTCGACTTCAACTCAATTCTGAAAATAATGCTTAAACTTTATTTTTCAATTTTGTAAAGTTCAACAATTTCAAGTCATGCATACGTGTTACGAAAAACTGGAAAATTTATTTACAAAATATGTAAGCAGATACGAAGAAATATTGCCGTTCGAAAGATGTCAATTTGTCTTAAAAGGAAAATGACATTTTCATTTGAAATATTATATCGCAGTGACTACATTATAGCAATTAAAACGTTAGCCCATTCTTCAAGATGTAATATGTTTTAATGACAATGTCCCATTACCGAGATATTTATTGCAAGAAAAGGAGAGTTAAGTGGAAGAAATAAAACCAATCTCGGTTTTGTAAACTTTCAAATGCCTGACAAGCTTAAAGTGCTTCAAAAAAAGCACTTTCTAGTTATTGATACGTACTTTTCATATTCTTTTCATTTAACAAAAACAATCAATTTTGCGGGATAAATAACACCAAACTATGTTGGTTTCTTACAAAGAGGATATTTAAGTTTTTTTCTATAAATACAGGATTTATTTTCATCGGAAAAAAACTTGAATTTTCTGTTAACTATATAGTTACAATTTTCTTTTCTTTTTTTTGACATTACAATTTGAATAGCTTCCCCTGAAATTTTGTTCTTGGCTAAATCAAGAGAACTAGTCCGGCAAGACATCAGTGAAAATACGGAAAATATGTTTCACTACATTGAAAAACAATTTTACATTGACAATACAGAAACTGAAATTCGTCAATTTTTATAAATATCTCATTTATGAATATCCAATAAATATAAGCTATATAAATATAAGTTTAGAACGAGTGTTGTCTGTTGTCTGCTCATATCAGACATGTATTTTTAAATTGAAATCTGTAATAATGTTATGTAACACATGTAAAATTTTTCAACTACAAAATTATTATATTAACAATACTAAACTTGGCTTTAGAAACAATACACACCTATTACTCATTTTAGAAATTGATAATTATTAATACGCAAAAATGCGATATGTTTTTCTTATTCCACTGTGCACATGTTTTCTTTCTTAATTGACATTACAGCATTAGAAAATCTTTCTACTTAAAACAAAACCTTTGCAGGTGGAAGAACATTGATTCATTCTTCTTGTTCCACTTATCACGTTCCCATTAGCACACGGCTGGATAACATAGATTGTCAACGGGTTTAAATTAGAATATACGGGCTCTGGTTTTATCAACACCAGAGGTGATTAATTAAAACTGGTGATGTGATGTATTTCATGTTAACAAGCTTCCATGTTTAGTATTCTTAATATACCGTTATAACATAAGTTCATTGTTCGAAGATTAGCAAACCGCCTCTCTGGTAAGGTCACCAAAAAGGCACCGAACGCTTATTTTGTGACATTGATTAGTTTTTTTTCTTGTTTTTTTTCCGGATCTTTGGGCGTTTAACAGGATACGCAAATTGTCAAACAAATGATTTCACTGTTGACTTAACTTATTCATAAGAAAGTATGGCAATAATAATCCCAAAAACGAAATTTGCAGGATTGGTATGAGAATAACAAGCAATGACCTTGACTTAACTTTTAAATTAAAACATCGGCGCTGAATAATTAAACCTGTAAGAAAAACAACAAAGACAAACATCATCAACCAAACAAATGGAATTTAAAATAGTGGCCGCTCATCCATTCTTACAAGAGATGGACAACATAATGATTGCTTTACTCTTTGCTAAAACTATATTTTACATAGAGACTAATAAATGAGTGTATAATTATTGTGCTTCAACATCGTGTCCGCTGTTTCAGAGGACCCTTCAGCTAAAACTGTACTTTATCCATAAGAATTTTAAAGATATTGTACGATATATATGTATTTTTCCCACTTTGTTTTTTTACAACAAACCTAAGTATTTTTTTTAATTCTGATTCAATGAATGTTAATATAACCGATGCAAACAATTTCGTGTAAACTCAAAGTGGTAATTTGTTAAAACAGAAATTTTCGCATGTGAATAAATTTTGCAAATTGAAATTTTTCTAAAAAATCTATAATTAAAAAGCATCGGTAACATCTCAAACGTTTTGACATTGACAATATTATCATGGAGCTTTTTTTATCAATGGAATATTGTTATATATTTTGTTTGTTTTGTTTATTTTAATATGAACTGATAGGTTAACTATGTGCATGAAACACAGATGAATGATCGAGGTAACTCTTTTTCTTTATTATAACCATATTATTTCAAGGTAAGTAGAAATTTAGGATTTACTCAGTGGATATAACCGTAACTGTGTTAATCTAACATTTGTGTTTTGCTTAACAATTCAAATCAAATAAAGATATTTTAAGACAATTTTTTATATTCAGGTATATGGCTATTTTATATCCACTGAGACCGAGAATACCCAGACGTCACGTCATAGCCGCTATAGCTGTCATATGGATCATCTCGATTGCCCTTTCCTTACCAAACCTGATATTTTTTACCACAGTAGAACAAAGTGGTGTAACACTTTGTACTTATACTTGGAGCTTAGACAAGGATCTGGCGTAAGTACTTGTAAATACATATTTCCCGACAAATGTCCTACATTTTCATTGTTAACATTTTTTTGTGAACATGTTGTATTGTTATGAATTTCAAGTGGTATTTGTAAAGATAAAAGACAATGCCGGTGGTCCTGTGTGGCTTGTTTTTGTGAAGAGGGTGCGTTCTGTGAGCGTTTCTCATCCCTGTTTATTTTATATTGTCATACATTTTTTTAATAAAAATACATTTAATGCAATAACTTTTTACAAATTACATTTTATCTCAATTATTATAACAATTGTTTTGACCTTTGCTTTTTATTCAGTGAGGAATTCCTGTAGCCCGGTTTATTATAAATTTGCACTTTTTCCGTTTGTCATTTTTCTGTTCCAATTGTCCTGCGTAGCTTAATGTTGTCTTGGGAGGGAGAGGCGTCTGCGTTCATGAATCTTGCTTTCCTCGTTTGATATTTACTGTCATTGTTTATCGTTCTTATCTATATTGTATTAAAAGGTATAACTATTTGCTGTTGATATTGAACTATATCTTCCCATTGTTGACTTTAACAATCACATACTCTCGAGTTGGTATTGAGTTATGGGGGAGTCAGGCAATAGGCGAGGAAACATCAGTCCAACACGACAGAGTTAAATCCAAACGAAAGGTAAGCTTTAAGCTTTTTAAAGTTAATATTAAGTTTAGTTTTATTTATCAATTATAATTATATCATAGTGGTTTAATAAAGAGTATTTTTTATAATAAACGTTTTTTTCCTAATGCAAAAAAGTCTATTAATAAGCATACTGAATAAAAAACCAACTGAAATATACATATTAAAGAGTAAGCAAATTACTCCATTTTGAAAATTCTCGTCCGTTTTTGTTTTTTTTCTTTGTTTTTTGCCCTTGTGCAATGTCCTGTTTGGTGTCCTGCTAGGCTCCTTGCCTCGTGGATGAGTTAATTGTGTGCCCAAGTTCCTCCTTGTTTATCTTGTTTTCATATAATTTTCCACTCTTCAGGTTGTGAAAATGATGATAGTGGTAGTTATCATCTTTGCTGTGTGCTGGTTACCAATGCACCTCTATTTTCTGTTATCCAATCACCATCCAGCTGTTACGAAACTGGATTATATTCAACAAATTTACATTGTGTTCTTTCTGATGGCGATGAGCAACTCTATGTACAACCCTATCATTTATTGTTGGATGAATTCTAGGTAAATGAACATCATTTACACATATCGTGTGTCACTTAATTTGTTTACTTAAATACTAAATCAAATAAAAAAATTTGAGAAGTTTGAAATTTATTCTTTCTGTATAAAATAATAAGCAAACGATTTTTTACACAGCACATTCAATTGTATATTTTGTTGATTCAAGTGTATTCACCATTGCAACAATTTAGAATGATTATCAATTGGCTTAAAATATAATTCATATTTATTTTTTAATACAATCATGCATTAAGATCCATTTCAATGAGCTTAAAACAAGACATACGTTGTATACATTAAATAAAACAGTTAAATATAAATATGATCCACTTTATTTTAACATTAAAACGGCTACCTGCATTTGTGACACCAATGTTTTCGTTGTTACCCGCATAAATTATATTGTTTTTTTATTATTTAACAAAATATTTATGTTAAGGCTTGCATGTATGTCATATTTTTTGTGATTATGATAAATGATTAGGCATCGAATTTTCAATAAGTCTAAATTAGCAAAGTCGTGACGTAATTTGAAACCAGATTTACATGGATTTATGAATGATTTTGTGCATTGACAGTTAAGTATTTCCTATATAAAATACACCGTCTTGGGTATCGCAACCTGAGGATATTCCAACCAATGAAGCTGAAAAAGCTTCATAGTACATTTAACTTAACTAAAGAAAACAATTATAAATATGTTTGCAGCCTTATAATGCCCATTTACTGATTCCATTATTTCATTATTTAAAACTTGGAAAAATAGGACTTCTTTTGAATACAAATATGATATGTTGTTACTCATTACAGATTTCGTGAAGGATTTATTCGAGTGTTCTGCTGGTGTCCTTGCAGACCTTGTAAAAAATTTCGGAGTAAACTTCGGTTTCGGAGAACCCTTTTTCCAACCAGTGTCAATGCAATGTCCGAGAAATATAGTGAGAGGAATGGATCGTTAATGCATACTATGACAGAATATGTAGACCCTGATGTGAATGGACCTCGACGAGTATCAAATAACCGGAATATAGTGAGAAAATCAGATGACTATTTGTGAAAAAAAAAATAGATTTAGTGTAATAGTTTGGGAATTCAAGTAGCTGGTTCTTAATTTACGTTTGATTTAATCGTTCTAATGATAGCTTTACCAATGGACTACCTACAAATAACAGAAGCGTGATTTTCCAGTGATCTAAACATCTGTGAATTTCCTACATGTTAATTATTTTGGGTCAGATAAGATTGCGTGACTGACTCGAAAGTGACATATCTTCTTTTTATAAAGATGTGTACATAGACAAATGACACAAATGACGAGGTTTTTGTAAATTTATTAACATTAAAACGAATTTGTCGTAAAAACTTAGCGACGACAAATACAAACAATGTACAGAAAGGTGATATCACAGATGGTATCCATTCATGTTAATTATTTTGTAGATCTGTATATATGATTTGGGTTTTTTTTCACTGTATTTATTATCATAATATATTATTTTGTTCATTTTGTCTCATTTTAGTTCATAAAATAAAGTAATAAATTCATTATCAGTTAAACTGACCTTACAATTCTCGATAAGCTGCTTGATTATATCATAGACATTACCTCGTATCATGCTGAACTTATAAAGCTGCTGTTGAGAAAAAGATATTTCAAGAAAAACATACTTGAGCAAAATGTTCTTAGATTTAAAGAAAGGTAGAATATTCAACTAATAGCATAATGTAACGTGGGTCTAATGATTGCTTACGAAGTATTAATCACCATATTTCGAAAACATGCTCTGAAAAGCTGTAAATAAATTCAACTTTGATTTGCCAATACTTCGCTTGAAAAAATTCATGTATATTTTAACCCTGAACCTGCTTTGAACGTTACGTGGTAAGCCTTTTTCAAAAGTGTAGTGCGAGGCCATAGTGCACATCGAAACTGACACAAATAATTGCTTTAATGAAGTGATGTTCTCGATATCTATTAATGCACTTCAAATTAAATATTAAGTACCTAAGTATCTCGTTACATTAGTATGAAAATGTTCATTTTTTTGTTATTAGTTGCTTGTTTAATCAAAATATTGAAATTTCTATTGTCAAATATTAGTTGTTATTGTAGATACATTTCATGTGGGTGTATTTTATATAGTTGATGTACAAAAAATATTTCAGTTGCTATATTTCTTATTTTTGTCATTTCACATGGTAAGCCAATTTTGAATTACAAAAATAATACTAAATTTTTAAATGATTAATAACACCAATGTGTTAGCTCCTGGCATAAGAAAATATTCGGATTTTTTCTTATTGAATTACAATTATTTAAGGAACGGGATACGGTGTCATAGTGTTCACGGTACCTGTCACAATTAAAGTATCGTTGTATCAAGCCCCTATTTTTTTCATAGTCATCCCCTACTTCATTCATAGGCATAATGCTAGGTACGATTGCATTAGTTATATATCAGTTTTATAGTTTAAATAAACATGTATAGAGGATAAACAATTACGTTAACATAAGACGACAATACATAATTAAGTAAATATGAATGATTGAAATGTATGGCCGTTATCGAGATGACACAAATTGTACTTTTGCCACTAGTGGGGTAGTCATCAGGTAAAGGTATGAGTTTAATCATTTTTTAAATCTCATCTATAAATCGGTTTGCGGTTTTAAAGTTTGATTTGATTCCACTGTTTCACCGTGGAACTTGACGCAACGTTCTACGTGACGTCATAAAACCATGTCGTTACAAGGTTCATGTCGGAAAAAAACAACATTTTTTGTACAATTCTAATTGTGTTGAAATTTGTTTAATCTAAACATTAGATGAACCTTTTTGTGTGCTTGCACTTGCCAATGTACATTTATTTAAAAGGTAATTGTGCATTATTTAATCTATCTTAGCTACATTAAACGTTTAAGCTTAATTTCTATTGACAATATTTAAATTTATATATCATTGACAATATTATATATATATATTTTCACTTTTTCACTAAACATCATGCAGTGCATTTTGTTTAGATTCCTTAAACTTACATAAATTTGCTTAACTTAAATTTGCCAAATCTAGACAAATCAACTATGTTTGAAAATCGAAACATACGCATTTTATTTTGACCTTGTAAATCAATCATAGTTAATGCCATTCATGTTTGTATGTATATATGTATGTAAATCGCATAATGAATCAATAAAATAATCTACTTAAATCACTTGTTTGTATTACTATCATTTGAATACAGTTTTCTCTTAATTCACACTTTTGTTATTACAGCTATATTTACCTGATGCGTTTAGTGAAGAATTAAATAAAATAATTGGTTTGAACAGCGACTTTGATAAAAATAGACAAATATAACGTATTTTTATCATCACATACCCGTGCCAATTCTGCGACTCCGTAAAAATGGTATTGCACGGTTTTGCATATATTTAAACATTACGTCATTTGCGTTATACAAACATAGTTTAAAGACGCGCAAAATGTTAGCGCCACACTTTAAGTGCGTCAATTAAAAAATGATTATTTTGCACTTTAAACAATCGTTATTTTGGATATTATATCTTACTGAATTTATTGAACAAGTTTAATAAAAAAATGAGGCTTTCATAATATAATTTTTATTTAACTTGTTCAAAAAAATCATTATTGAACCTACACGGAATCCATATCCTCTATTTATTGAATATGTTGAAGAATAGTTAGGCTAATTAAAAAACATAATGCATTAATGAAAATGTAATAACTTAATTCACACTGATAATAGCACTATTCACATTCCGCAAAGGATGATAACATTACAAACAGAAACTCACTGTTTCCATACCAGAGAAAATCGTTCTGCATAAGGAACAATGGTCTAGACCGTAGAACTATAAAACAGATAAGGGAAATTAATTTGGCACAACTAAAAGGATTTATCCTACTAAAGAATGTTATCCTTTCACGCTCCTAGCAGATTTATATGTTAATCTCCATAAATATATCATATCAGCATTGCAACACAATAAGCAACCTATTATATTATTTTTATTTTATTCATTCATCTTCCATTCCAAATAATTGGCAAATAAAAACATTTAGTCTTGCCTATCAGTCAGGTTAGAGGCATTTGAATAAATTGTATGTTAATACAAGAAAACAGACACATTATTTTATTTATTTCTATATTATACCAAAGAAATGTTATGGAGTTTTCTTATAAAAAATGTCTTTGATTACTGTTAATGAACTTTTGACTTTTTTTTTTACAAAGATTCTACAAAAACGTATCTAAAACATATAAGAGGTATATCGGAAATAAAGAATATGCATTTTGCTTACGTGCTCTTTCACATATGATCAAAAATTAAACTAGACAATTTCCTTCTGATAATTTTCTTCTGCATGTAATATAAGGTTTGCCTGTGTCTGTAACAGTAATTTCCGGTGACAATGTTAAATACTCAATAGCATTTTGTTTATTTTGTCTTTCAAAAATAATGAATACGTCTAAAAAAGACTACCGATTAAACCGGTGCTAGAGGGGCTTCTAGGATTTGTATTTTTCCATTTTCCCCTCATGAACAAAATTAAATCAATGTTTTCATTGCTTCCGGGAGATTAATCCTTTTCTAGATGTTTTGTACCTTAATTATATTAAGTAAATGGTCGAGCTAACGTTTTAGGACAATATGCGGTACCTTGCCCCTTTTGCAATACATTTTTACTATTTCCTTTCATTTTCTAAACACCTCTACAAATTACTAAGAACAATTCTGAGAAGTGGAAAATCCACAGTGTCCTTAAACCAACTTACAGAAAATGTTAACTAATTTGTACTCTTTTGTGTTTGTACTGATCTTGTCAACGTAATCGTTAATGTTTGTAGAGAATGCTTAACAGGGAGATAAAGTGTTTTCTTGAAGATTAAGGTTAAATAAAACAACAATTGTTGCACTGTTCACAATAACCTGAGGTACAGGTACCTTTAACATATGTTATTCAAAACTTCTTCCCTATCGACCTCGTCACAATATGGAACATTTAGATTTTCATTTATTTGTCCCCAAAACCAATGTTTAAATGAAACATATTTTATGGTAAGTTAACTTGTCTGAATACAAATGTATATCCGGAACACTCGGTTTCGTAAGTAAAATTATGTCATTTATGCCTTAATCATTTGTAGAAATAATCTTATTTAGTTCTTACAATACTTGTCTGTCTTAAGAACAGAAGCGTTCACGGTATAATTGACTAAACTTCCCTGACATGAATATGACATTTTATGTTCATAACGTGTTGTGGGATATAGTTACGAGCATAGATAGTTCGAAAGGGGACATATACTTATCAGTTAGTTTACGACATAAACCTGTAAGAAGCCTAAATCTACTAGATTCAAGTACAAAGAATAATTATGTATTAAAATGTATTTTCAGAGTGTTTTTTTTTACATTTATTGATCATTATGATGTGTTTGAACAATTACTTTGTTCAATCATTTTGTATTTACTTTTCAACCCTTTTGTCTAAGTCATATTTTAATTTCGTTTTGCAAAAATAAATTTCTCTAGTAATTTTATTATGCAAATCCATAAATATATTTCAGGTAATCAGAAATTAAAATAACACATTGTTTGAAATTTATCATAATACCCTTTTCATTGGCTTTGAAATATGTAATTAATGGAATTTAATATTACATTTTTGCATATAATTGATATTCAAACAAAGATAGCTTCAAAATCAAAATTTAAAGATCCTGTAACACATTTTGTATGGTTTTGTATCATTAATATGGTGCTCAAATTAAGAATTATCAATTTTGTAAGTTCCAAAAAGCATAATTTATAGAGATATTATTGAATTTATCATTTCATGTAAAAAAATGATGGTTATAAAAAATATTTTCTATAAAGACAAATTTTTCAATAAGAAATAAATGCACATATTATAATGATTACATATTATTAAATTAGATATGTACAAATATTTGCAGTACATATTTGACATATTTTTGGATGTTTGAAAATTGTTTTAGAAGCATCATTATATACATATGTTATGATATGTATAATAACCTCAATTACAACAAACAGGATCTTTAAAGCAAAACAGGAATCATTTAACAAAAGTTTCCAAACTCTTTTAGACATTTTATACTTAAAAACCATAACAGGTTTAAAACATTTTTTTAAAATCATATCTATTTAAGGAAAGACAAAAATTTGATGAAATAGCTATAAATTAAATGACAATACGACATACTGTTTTCACACCTGCATAGATAAAAGAAGTTTACCATTTAACTGGTAATTGAACATGTCACCTATTGAGATTATGTTTAGATCTTCATTTAAGTACACAGAAAGTTGAGGTTTTACAGAGGATTTTTTAAGCATGTTTAGCAGAGGGAAGCCACAGAAAATAGTCCGGTTTTCGGATTTCAGAGGTTCCGGTATTCAAAATATTATTTTCGATGAACATATAGGGAGAACATACGGGACTTTTAAAATGGTCCGGTTTTCAGAGGATTCCGATTTTCAGAGGGTCCGGTTTTCAGAGTTTTTACTGTATATAATTTCAACATTTTATCATGAAGATTCTAATTGCCATGCTTTTAGTCATTGTTCATATAACATGTACGTACTGTTGCTTTTCTTGCTCTATGATATAACATATCACGTAATTTTACTTGTAGACAACTGTACATCTGACACATTCTTTCCGTGTCTTTATTGGAATAAGGTCACTTATGTCTTAATCATTTGTATAAGTTACCTTATTTAGTTCTAACAACATACT